GGCAAACCAAGAATGGATCGACGAATTTAATAGATTAACTTTTAATTTTCAAGATGATCCTTCTGCTTCATCTTGATAATTTCTTTGTAAATATTTATTTACTTTGTAATTTCTAATTTGTATAGTGTTTATTGTAATCTTGTATAGACTTTGTAAGTTCATCAAATTTGTAATTCGTCCCACAATGATTGCACTCTTTTTTCCTTACCAAGTTTTTATCCCAATTGGATTTTTCTTGGTAAGATTTTAATGAGACAATCATGAATTACAAATTTAAAAATCAATGAAGAAGAAATTTTTTTTATATAGTTCGTTCGTGTGTTCAGTGTTCATTTCATATTTCAAATTGTAATATACACATTGTAATTATACAAATACTTATTTCAACAACATAAAAATATAATATAAAAAAAATTTGGGCAGCCGGTCGGGCATCGGGCAGCCCGACCGGGCACGGGCATGCATCCTCTGCCCGAAGCCCGTTCATGGTAATTTTCGGGTCCGGTCGGGCAGCCCGAATATTCAGGCAGATCGGGTTCGGTCATCAGGCAAAAATTTGGACTTTTCGGTGGTCATGGCGGCTCGTCTAAAGTTTCAGCACTGAATTGTACTGCTAAATGAACTAGAAAACAAATGAAAAACAATAATTCAGGGAAAAAAAAAAAAACCCAATGAATCAATGAGTGCACATAAATCATTTACAAAAACATGAAGCCAACCTCAATGAATGTAAATTAATAAACCATCATACAAATCCATTACAACGTTTCAAAGAAAAAAAAAATCCCATTAATACAAAACAAAACAAACACTTTTTAATGTGCAGAATATCCTTTACACAAGGCTAAAAGCATAAAAGCTCCTAATGCTTTCCAGTGGTCTTGTGATACTTCTCTTTGATCCAACGAACTCCAACGGCAGTTCCGTTCTTGACTTTCACGAAGCCACGTGAAGCGGCCGCCTTCGTTTTGTCAAACCCATCTTCCATTTTCTGAGAAAATTGAGCCTTCGAAGAACCACCTCCAGGGGTCCTCTTCTCAGGAACTGTAATTGGCTCTGGATCCCATTGATCAGCCCACGAAGTCTCATAAGAACTGTTTGATGCCATTTTCAAAAAACTTATTTGAATCCACAAAATCAGATTAAAACTTGGAAAAGAGACGTTTGATGTTGAATTTATCACAAAGTTGGGTTTTTATATGCGTTAAATTACGGGGTAAATGAAAACCGCGGTTTTTCTTTTTTTTTATAATCCAAATCTGAAATGTCAAGAATTGGGTTCTGATGTCGGATTCTGTAAAGACTACGACCAATTTTTCGACTTTCTAGAAAGATTGAAAAGAAACAAAAGTAAATTGTCAACGGAACTTTCTCTTGAAGAAATCTGGAACTCTTTTAACAATTTTTGTTTCAGCAACCTTTTTGGAATAAAAACCTTGTGAACTACTTTGCCACACGTAACATGAGAATTTTGAAATAAACAAAACTAATGTCTGGTTAGGGAACTCTTGTGATTGGCTGGCCCGATTAGAAACTTCGATTTCCTTTTTTTTTTTTCCTTCACTTTTAGGCCACCAGTGCCGCACGTCCGCGCTACCTAACTAATAACGTAATAGATGATGTAATTCCACTTAAGCATAAAATTCAAAAGTTAGGAAAAAATGATTTTTTTTTTAAGAAAATGATGAACAATGGGTCAGGTGTAACTTGCGTGTAAGAAATTAAATTTTTTTTTAATGAAGCTTCTAATTATGACCAAAAGATATAAAGAAAGACAATAACTAAATATAACGAGAAAAATAAAACTATAAATAGCGGATAAAGTTTTGTCCTTCCGATTACCAATTTATTTTCTTTTCATTTTAAAACTATTTTTTTTTTATTTTTTATTCGTATGATTAGTTTGTTTTCGTTATTCGTTTATGGAAGCAATTTTTTTTCCCCAAACTATCTTTGTTAGTTTATTTGTGTATTATTAGTCTGACTAGCCTGAAGATTCCAAATTCAAATTGATATATTTTTTGTTTATAAAATGACATAGATTAGGGACCCATCCATCATATTACATTATCAGTCAACAACCACTAGGACTTTGCCACGTGGATGGCCGTTTCAAGAGACAATTTCCTCTAAATCTCCACGAGAGCGATAAAGGCATCTCAACTCCCACGTTTGACGGCCGCTTTGTCCTGTACTCTCTCTAGTTATAATGCAAAAGTCAAAGCAATTCCATTTATTTTCTCGTCAATAATTTTCACCCTTCTAGGATTAGGAATTAGGAAATACATTATTAGTAAAATAATGCTTATATTATTATTTAAAAAAGGGCCGAATATGAAAAAAGATAACTCCAAACGCTGTCGTTTTCACCCTACTTCATAAGAAACTACGCCGTAAAGAAAAGACTCGAGAATTCAAAACCTGAAAAATTCAACGCGCTTCAACAAGAAAACTCCCCCCGCCTCAAATACGACTCTCATGGACTCGTCAATCCCAACATTTTTTTTTTTTGCCGCTACGGCCTTCTTTCTCACCAACCTATTTATCTGTATTTTTCTGCTCTCATTTTCCTTCTATCCAAACACCCTCTCTACCGGTTTTCTCTCTCTCTCTCTCTCTCTGAATTCTCAAATTAAATATTCATATAGTTAGATTAAAAAAAAATGAAATTGAGGTTCTATTTCTTGGCAATTGCGTTATGTCTATCGTCGATTTGGTATACTCCAATTTCAGCTCGAATTCACCCTAATATCTCACCCACACCGCCATGGCAGGTCCCGAACGACACCGCTAAGGGAGCGTGGGACTCGTTCAAGAACTTCACCGGATGCCGGCCGGGACAGAAGTCCGACGGACTGTCGAAGCTGAAGGACTATTTCAAAAACTTCGGCTACATTCCCGATTCTCAGCACAATTTCACCGACGACTTCGACGACGAGCTAGAATCGGCGATCAAGACCTACCAGAAGAACTTCAACCTCAATGTCACCGGCGAGCTCGACGACAAGACGATCGAGAACCTGATGAAGTCCCGATGCGGCAACGCCGACATCGTCAACGGCACGTCTACGATGAATTCGGGAAAACCAGCGTCGTCTAATTCGTCCCTGAATTTCCATGCTGTCCGACATTACTCGTTCTTCGAAGGAAGGCCGACGTGGCCGGAGTACCACCGCGATCTGACCTACGCTTTCTTGCCGGACAACGAGCTCTCGAATACCACGAAGGAGGTGTTCACGCGCGCCTTCGAGCGGTGGGCGGCGGTCACGACGCTGACGTTCACGGAGACCGACTCGTACTACGAGGCGGACCTCAAGGTCGCATTTTACACCGGCGATCACGGCGACGGCGAGCCGTTCGACGGCGTGTTGGGGACGCTGGCGCACGCGTTCTCGCCGACGAGCGGGCGCTTCCACCTCGACGGCGCAGAGACCTGGGTGGCGGAGGGCGACGTTACTAAGTCGTCGACATCGTCGGCGATCGATCTCGAATCCGTCGCCGTCCACGAGATCGGCCACCTCCTTGGGCTCGGACACTCGTCGGTGGAAGAGGCGATCATGTACCCGACGATTTCGGCGAAAACTCGGAAGGTCGAGCTCGCCAGTGACGACATTCAGGGGATTCAGGAGCTGTACGGCGCGAATTCCAATTACACCACTCCGCCGTCGTCGTCATCGCCGAATTCTCACCAGGAAAACACGTCCAACGGTGGGGACCACCGCCGCTCGAGCTGGCGGTGGGACCTTGGCTTTCTCTCTTCCGTTGGATTGGGTTTGCTTTTGTTGTAGATTTGTATAAATATACTTTTTTTTCCTCCTGATTTCTGATATTAATTTTGTTATTTAGTAACATTATCTGTCAGAAATTGTTATTGTCAGGGCATAAATTAATTTGGCTACTTCCAAGGTCCTCCGTTGTACATTGGTTTATGGGGGCTGAGTAGGTGTTGGACTTGGAAGACAGCCAAAACAGACATATACGACGTCGCTATGACGCCATCTCGGTTTTTTATTTTTTATTTTTTATTTTTTATTTATTTTTTAGTTTTTTTTATATACGACATCACTTTTACACTATTGATATATATATAATTTTTTTTTTTTAAAAAAAATTGTTGAGTATACTCACACCTTTTTATTTTAGTAGAAATTTTGACATTTATTTGTTTATTACGTATTCCGTTTTCATTAGTTGGTCTTAGAGGCTGATGATCTCTGTTGATCAGAATAATTAATAGGAAAAACCATTTCCATATATGATATAGAGCAATTGTATAAGGTATCAACGGTATCCACTAATAAAATGTGGATCCTGTGACATGATGATAGTATTGAATTATTGAAGTTCACTGTAAATGTCCCACAACATAAATACAAAGTGTAAACTAAAATAAAAAAACCTCATGAACCCCTTATTCAATCCGTTAATCTCACCCACAAATTATTGGAATGTTCTTTACCTATTACTTAAATGGCACATGGGTGACATGTAATCTGTTATTCAATTTTTAGCGCACATGTATTTAAAAGACTAACTTTGTAACGCTATAAATTGGGATCAGTTTCATGACATTTTAAGCATTGGGGATCAAAGTGGAGTTTGTTGTAAAATTCAAGAATAAGGTTCCGTTTGATATAAGAATTGGAATTAGTGTGATTTGGGTCTTTAGATTCAAAATCATGATTCATGGTGATTAGAACCTTTATTTGGATGTGTGTAGGTATGATTCTGATTCTAACGTGAAATGTGATTCGAACTAGTGTTTGATTGTCTTGTTTTCTGATTTTGAACCATGACTAAAATAAGAACCAGCTTTTAAACGTGTAAATTACGTTACATGTAATTTAAAAAAATATAATTCGTTATATAATTAAAAAAACAAAAGTATTAGAAAAAAAGTTATAACTCAAAATTAATAATAAGTTGAAAGAGAAATAAATGCAAAAAATTGTTCATGAAACCATTATTTCTTTTGCATATTCTCTTTTTTTTCGGTCTTGATTGTTGATTGTCTAGTAAAGTGAGCTAATGTGATTTTACAGACCCAAAAAAAAAAAAATCAAACCCAGAACAAATGATTGCAAGTGTATTAATTGCAAGAGAGCACAATGATTTTCACTGTGGCAAATGGGTTCCAACGGGCAAAATCAGGGGGGCCCTGCCCGTTTGTTTCTTATATTTATTACTGATTTTGAATCATGATTTATGGTTCTTTATAGTGTTTTTTTCTCTTAAAAAATACACGTAAAATGCAAATGGGTTCCAACGGGCAAAATCAGGGGGGCCCTGCCCGTTTGTTTCCTATATTTATTACTGATTTTGAATCATGATTTATGGTTCTTTACAGTGTTTTTTTTTTCTTAAAAAATACACGTAAAACAAAAATGATTCTGCATCATGATTTTGAATACACGAACCAAACGAACAAGAATCATGTCCCTGATCCGGACCAAAACTCCAATCTGATTCTAACCCAATAGCCTGACTATGCCCTTCCAAACATGGGTTTAGGTGTAGACCCAAGGTTAAAATCAGTTGAATCCCCTTACCAAACTGGCATTAATTTTTATAGTTTTATACTTGTCTCTTTTGAGTTTACAAATAAATTAACCTAGTATTTTAGACGTGTATCATACCGTTGGATTTCAAATTCACATTAATTTTGTACATTTCCTCAGTGAACAATTGTATCTGACTTTTAAATTGATGAAATCCTTTTTACCTTATAAAGAAATAGGTAATCAAACACTTAATGGTGACTTTAAGCTTTTAACCTAGGTAGCTTAGCTTGAAAATGCAATATTTATGATTTGTTTTCATTGGATTTTAAACATCACGCCTAATTCATTTTTGTTATTGGATCTTTTAGAAATTGAATTTGTTAATTAAGGATCAAAGTCAGCTAAAAAGTAGAGATTTTGACGTGAATTTGAAGTTCAAAGGTATGATCTTAAAAACATTCAAATACAAAGTTATTTTTCCTCATAAACTCAAACTACATGAGATAAAAAGAAAAGAGAAAAGAGACAAATAATCTTGAGTCTTAATTTTTATCTCTTATTTTTTATTAATACTCTTTTAATTAAATATTATGTTAGTCAAAATGTATTAATTAAAAATAAAGAATAAAATACCCATACACTTTGAAGTGCAAGTTCGTAATTTTCTCGACAGGGCAATAGGGGAATTGGGAAAATAACCTCATTCAACAGATAAACAAACTGCTTAAATGGGCTTTAGCACCTGACGTCCAAGAGGGCTTTGATGGACTTGCTTTACCTTAATGGGCTTTTCCCCTTGAGCATACCTGCGAATGTTGGTTTTGAAACCCAAATATCAAGGGAAATTTGGAGGGGAGAAAGAGAAAAATAAGTCAAGACTTGAGATGAATTAAAGTTAATAGGTCAATAGTTTACATAAATTAATAAATAGGCTAAATTATTATTTTCGTTCATAACTTGTCTGGTTATGAACCATAACTTGATAAGTTACTGTCCATAATTGTCCATAACTTGTCTGGCTATGAACCATAACTTGACAAGTTTGTCCATAACTTATCTGGTTATGAACTATAACTTGACAAGTTATGGCATATTAATTTCTATAACTAAAAATTGACATATATACATTCTTAAGCTTTTCATATTGACCTATTTTCTACTATTGCATAAATTTAGAAGATTTTGGGGGGAGATCTGGCCTGCAGTGGAATTGTTGCTAACTCCCCAAGTAGCCCACTTTTTGGCAAACCAAGCTTTTTTGTTTGAATGATTCTAGTGCTTGGATTGGCGTAATTTGTATAATTAAAACAAATAAGTATATTAAAATATATGTCTAATTTACACGTGCAAGCGGTCGAGTAAGGCTTCATTCGTTTTGCGGATTTAAGTTTTTAATTTGAATTGAGATGTGATATTTTCTGAGAGCTTTTAATTGTAGTAAAAAAAGTTAGATTTAACATTTTTTAAGAACTTTTAACTGTAGAAATTTAAAACTGAAAATTCAAATCGTTAAAATAAATGAGGCCTAATTAACTAAACTTCAAAAAGCAGATCCAATCTAATTTACACGATTCAAAAGAGTTAGCTTCTAATAAGAGAACATAATGAAGATTTATACAGTTTCTTAAACACCATAAGGTTAAACATATGTTTTGGATGTCAATTCAAGATGGATAGAACTCTAAAAAAAAAAAAAAAAAAAGGCCACAAAACTAAAGAGACAAATTAAGAAGGGCACGCTTATTAATTTTCTCAAAAAAAAAAAAAAAAAAAAAATTTATACGGCTTGAAACTGACTCTCCACAGTTTCTGCTTCTTTCACTTTCTCTGTTTTTTTTCCTACCATAATATGCATTTCCTAGTTTCCCAATTTTGACTACTGTAAGCATATTCTCTTTCAGTAAAGGACTAACACTTGCTTCCAAGAAGCTAGTGGTCCCACGCATTGGCAATTTGGCTGCAAATAACAAAAAAATACCTAGTCAAATGGTTTACACATTACCACATATATCGATCAATGGTAATGGTATAGCTCATAATAAAAAGGAGGGCCCCAACAACCACTTTCTGATAGACCCATGTAAATCTCTTCAAGCGTCACAACAATCTGAAGTCGGTAACACATTCATCTAGAAGGTCCTCTTAATTACTCTCTAAGCCAAACTCAAATTTAAAAACCATAGAAGTTCAATAAATAAATAAAAAAAAAGGGAAAGACTGAGAAAATTACAAATTTTAACTTTTTAATTACCTAATTTATTAAAAGTACTTTTTAAAAAAATTTACCACTTGATTAGTTCTAATTTAAAAGATAAAAATATATAAATTAGTGTTAAGAATTATAAATAAAAAGGGCTGCATTTTAAAAGGGTATTCTTAAAAATTGGATTTGCTGGTTACTTATGACTCGTAAGCAGTATAAACACGAGCTCATCTTTCATTGGTGAGTGTTCAGATGGTGTAACACGTTCGGCTTGTGGGCCCCTTTTTGTTTTTTCTTTCTATAGTTGTAGACGTAAAAGTGAAAGTAAAAAAAAAAAAAAAAAAAAAAAAAAAAAAAAAAAAAAAAACTTGGGCGCAATGGATCACTATCGAATGGCTGATGATCGAACAGCTATCAGCCATATTGAACCAAAACCAAAAAAAGTTAGCGGAAAGGTGAAGAATCGAACCAACTTGCAAATTACTGGATAAGCCACTTTTGTGGAAGCCTCTGGTTTTGTCGCGGCACTACATTCACTTTCTAAAACCGGTGTCAAGGCAACTTCTCTTAACAGTTTAAGTACCATTTGACCTTTCCGTATGAACGAGAGAGGACAAACTGCAAATCCCAAATACATTTTTCTCGGAAAGTGCTATAATGTTAAACCACTTTCTCATTCAAAACCTACGTAAGTTAACATGGGTTTGCAGGTTTCAGTTTTCTGAAAGAAAATTGAAAAAAAAAAAAAGTGTATTAATTTATTAAAAGCTGATTTTGATTTAACTGTGGGAGATAAAAGAGTTTCATTTTCTCATCGTCATCGATTTCTAAATTAAAATTGAACTCCATGTTTTTTATCGCAAAATTTAGTTAGAATCTCATCAAAAAATAAAAATATATACACAAGATTGACGGACCTGATAAAATATAATGATTCCAAATTAAGGTGCAATTTTCATAAAACTAATTGATATCTACATGTTAGGTTATTTTTATCCGGTTAAAAAAATAAAAGTACTAAACATCACGGTTTGGCACAACATAAAATAATTCTAAATTATCATTATAACTGATACAGAATGTGTATAGAATATTAGAATGTTAGTAAGGGAGGAATTCAAACGTTGTTTTTTTTCTCCCCAACACTTTTGGGCTGTCTCTGAATTGTAACTCTCCTGTGCAACTAAACCCTCTCCAACTTGCATGACTGATATATATATATATATATATATATATATATATGGCCCTCCTATAATTAAACCGCGTCATTTGTGACCTCATAACCCTTTGCCAAAAATTTTCAACATTTATATGCTTTTGTAACCAAAATATCTTCTCTATATAGACCAAACCAAATTTCCGACCTTTCCCAGTTCTGCGTTCGGTTTCTCTTTCACCTCTTCAAACAATAGCATGGGATTTCTTCCATGTCGTTTACTATGTCATGATCAGTCCTCACACAAATTTAAAAAATCTGATAAATACTCTCTTAATTCCAACAACAATAATAGTAATCACCAGCTTCACTCAGAATCGTCAGTTTCATCCATTTCTTCCCAGCCAAGTCTGCCTTCAGTCCCTTCTCTAGAGATTAGTATCCAACAACAGCAACACAACTTAAGCCGCAACTTAAGCCGTCACCAATACGACGTCGTCGCCACCCTCAAAGCTCACTCCTCCTACATCTCCTCCCTCGTCCTCGCCGGAAAATTCCTCTACAGCGCCTCCTCCGACGGCACGGTCCGCTTGTGGGCCCGGGACTACGTACCTAATTCTCTAACAACCCCATATCAATCGGGCAATAATTTGGTCGTTACCACCAATAGCGCCGTGAAATCCCTCGTCGTTTGTGGCGATAAGCTCTTCACCGCCCACCAAGACCACAAGAACCGCGTCTGGAAAATCGAAAACGACAACGACGACGACGACGACGACAACAACAACGACAACATTTACAAATGTGTAGCGACTCTTCCCACTTTCAACGATCGTTTCCTCACTTTATTCTCGGCCAAGAACTACGTCACGGTCCGTCGCCACAAGAAGAGCACGTGGGTGCACCACAACGACGCCGTTTCGGGCCTGGCAGTTTCCGACGACGGCTCTCTTCTCTACTCGGCTTCGTGGGACCGTACGTTTAAGGTTTGGAGAGTGTCGGACTTCAAGTGTTTGGAGTCGGTGAGCAACGCCCACGACGACGCCGTCAACACCATCGCATTGTCCAGCGACGGACACGTGTACACAGGGTCGGCGGACAAGAAGATCAAGGCGTGGTTTAAGCCCCGGGGCGAAAAACGACATGTTCTTGTGGCCACCTTGGAGAAGCACCGGTCGGCGGTGAATGCCTTGGCTGTTAGTGGTGACGGGAAGGTTTTGTACTCGGGCGCTTGTGATAGGTCGATTCTGGTTTGGGAGAGGGAATATCATGGTTGTGGCTGTGGGGGTGTAGATTGTAATAGTTGTAGTGGTGGAGGGCAAAATGGGAATTATATGGTGGTTGTGGGTGCGCTACGAGGGCACAACAAGGCCATACTTTGCTTGGCTGTGGTGTCGGATTTGGTGTGTAGTGGGTCGGCGGATTGTAGTGTGAGAGTTTGGAGGAGAGGGATTGACAAGAGTTATGCCTGTTTGGCTGTTTTGGAAGGGCATAGACGGCCGGTCAAATGTTTGACTTTGGCACTTAATGGTAGTTGTAAAAGTAGTGAAAATGGTGGCTCTGATCTGGGAAGTTCTTATTTGGTCTATAGTGGAAGTTTGGATTGTGAAATTAAGGTTTGGAAAATTTGGTGTTCCTAAATTGTTTTTGGAGTTCTTTTTTCTTTTTGGTTTTTGTTATATTCAATTAGTATTTGATTTTTATATGTTCAAATATAGGTGGTGAGATTATAGAGTTGCACCCTTTTTCATTATTATTTTTGAATATTTGTTTATGCAGGTATACCGCGCGCCATAGTAATATGTGTGAATATTTGAATTTTATAGAGAAAAAAATGGGGATGGATTTCGGAGTCCTGAATTCCTAATTGCGTTGAACATATGAATGAATGCAAAGTTTGGCACAACATTCAAACATTTGACACAATATTTGGCGCAAGTGTTTGGTAAAGCGCGGAAATTTTAGACGTTTAGTTCATGTATTTAGAATTATAATTCAGAATCATTCTCAATTTATGTGTGTTTTTTATGAGAGAAAATACTTTAACGAGTCACGAATCATGATTCAAACCATGATACGAATTTTCATACCAAACACAAGTGTTTGGTAAAGTGCAGAATTTAATGAACGTTTAGTTTATGAATTTAAAACTATAACTCAGAACTATTTTTATTTTACGTATATTTTTTATAAAAAAAATACTATAAAAAATTATGAATTATAATTCAAAATTAAAATTGAATACAACAAATAAACATTCTCTTAGTAACCGGTTTAGCTTTTAGCGCACAGATTCTAAAGGGGAAATAGACTAGTAGTACTAGTTTTACAAGACATATTGTCAAGTACCGTTTAATATTATTGTGTCAAAAGTGCTCCCGGTTCAGTGCTCAATATTCACTTCATATTTCTCAGAGCTAGATTGTCGGCCGCATAATTCACCTTTTTTTTCCTCTATATGACAGTACTTCTTGAGGAGAACAATTGTTACAGTAAAATTTTTTTAAAAATAATTATATTAAACTTTTTATTACAATACATTTTTTGTTTTTTTACATAAAATCACATTTTAATTCGAATTAAAAACTCAAATTAAGAAACTAAACCGACCATAAAAATGCATAAAAGTTTATATGCATGCATGTCTTTAATCGCATAAGGGTTAGCAAAATCATGACCGTCAATATTGTCTTGTTGTTGTAAGGCATGCAAATACACTTGTCGATTGTAATTATATATATTTATACACATATGGTTTTACGTCTTGGGCAAAAGAGCCTCTCTGGCCATGCACGAGGGATTCAGGTGAGAAATGGGCACCGATTTCAAATTATTGTACTATATATCTAATTCGGCAGATTAATCCAAGATCTATATGACGACTACTTCCCAGAAAAAAAAACATTAACAAGACCACGATTTCCAACTTCGAACCAAAAGAAAGAAAAAAGATTCCGTCCTATTTGAAGAAATGGATTAGGAAAAAGAAAAAGAAAAACTCTATATATCCATGTTAGTCGTTAGATGACCTCAAAATATTTATTTTAAAATTCATAGACATATATACGACTAAAATTCATAGACATTTAACAAAATTTAACGAATTAAATAATATAATGGTTTAGAGTTGTGCGGCTGGTGTTATATTATAAAGTTTTTGTAGATTTATAATGTTTTATCATTTTCTTTTCTCTCTTCTTTTTTTTTTTTTTTTTTTTTTTTTTTTTTTTTTTTTTTTTTTGCAAATACAGATGTCATAGTCTCTATCTTTATTAAAAGACAAAAAGAAAAATAAAGGAAAAGTATACGTACGATCGACGAGGCGTCAAGGATTTCATCTTCTTACTTTAAAACAAGTGGGGCTAAGAGTTAGGTTAAAAGTCAATTTAGGGACCTCCATGTTTCTACAAGTCTCAACCGTCTTCATCTTAATTATATGTGCAATAAGATATAAAGATGCAGAATAAATAGAATGTCCATTTGAAAAAAAAAAAAAAAGAAAGTCCATTATCTACATATCTAAGATTCGGGCGTTAAATCTGTATATACCGTTAAAAAAAAGTGTATATGTGTTGTCCCACATAAAAAGTGGATGAAAATGTGAAATAATTTGTATGTATGTGATAACTCTATAAAATAGAATTATTTTTTATTTATATTTAAAATTACTTTGTTTTTAAGAAATTTATTTGTTTTATTTATTTTTAGTTTAGTTTTCTTGTGTTATTTTATTTTATTTTAGTTGATTTTATTTAATTTTTTCTCTAATAATTTTATTAATCCTCAATTGTATTTAAATTAAGTGAAAAGTACAATTTGAAGTTGAATTGCCATTGAAAATACTTCAAAAAAATCAAAAGCAAATCCGGATTCAGCTTTCTTCCGCGCGCCCCTGCCACTCATGCTCTTCACTGGCCGTCCGATTGTCTTCATCTGCAATCCAAAGTGCACCGTCATCTAGTTTTAGCTCCAACCCACTCAAAGTTTGCCACGTGTCCACCTTTGCATCAGAGTCCTAATGCCCCTCCTTCTTTTGCTCATCTGACGTGTGAATTTGGAGGCTATTAATAGCCCCCTTGGCAGTAGCAAGACCAAAAGGGACCAGCCCTGCAATTACTCTTCCTTCACCACGTGAGAAGAGCTTTTCCACGTGCACAAGATGTTGTGTTCTTGCTTTTCCTCTAGCCAATAGGATGCTGCCACGTGGATGATGACATCAGCAACCCTAATGCCCCTTGTTATATCTTTTTCGCTCACGTGAAACCAAGGCTTATTTAAAGCCTTTTTCAGCCGCAACAAAAAGCATTGGAGAGAACCCCCTGCGATTACTTCACAGAGCAAAGCACCTAAAAACAAGAAAAGCCCTCTGGGAAGAGTTGGGAGAAAATATCAGAGAAAATTATTTTGAAGAATTTAGGGTTATTCTGTTAAGATTTTTATTTTTTATTTTAGGTTTTGCAGGGGAGAAAATATTTTGAAGATAAAAAATTGAAGATTGAGAATTAAAAAGTTAAACTTAGAGCCTGTGACACCTCCACATGGGTTTTTGTGAATTGATTTTTTTTTCTTTTGTTTTTCTTCTAATTTTCTTTTTTGATTTTTTTTCTTATGAAGGTAAAATAAATAAATAAAAAATGATGACTGAGTTGGAGATGGGCCAAGCTATCATCATTTTTACTCAACACGATACTGAATCGCTTCATCGAGCTTGGGAGAGATATAATGAGTTATTGGCTAGGTTTCCACAACATGGTATTCCAAAGTGGCTTCAACTTCAAATTTTCATTAAAGGATTGAGCATAGCGACTAAAAGTTGGGTTGAAGATGGCTATGGTATAACCTCATTCGGTGAAAGACCCGATGATGAAGCCTACCAAATGATGGAGGATATGGTGAAGTTTTATCAAGATTGGTACATTCGAAAGAAGTTGTCAAGGGAATTCAAGCCTTTAAAGGAAGATGAGCCTCAAGAAGAAGAACAAGAACCCTTCAAATCTATTTTTGCTCAAACCTTAGCGCAGTTGGACTCTCGTGGTGTCGACACCGATTTGCTAAGTAACGGGGTGTCCATCCAAAACCATGAGTTTTATGAAGATCAAATTGCATGCATGGCTATGGATAGCGAAGTTGTGAGTGAAGAGAAATTATAGGGATTATTTGAGGATTTCCTAAATGAAAAAGAGGTACGAGAGCCGTTGGAGGATGAAGAAGCATACGAGGCCATTGAATTGAGGTCATTAGTGGTTTTATCATACACACCAACAATGAATCCTTATTTCCCTCCGACACCACCATCACCATATTATGTCCTCTACATGATCGAGCCTGAAGAGAAGTTTTCCACCCAAGCTCATAATCAATCGAAGTGAAGTCGTGTTGCAACAATGAGCCAAATACTTCCAAATCATGCCAAGCTTGAGAACACCTATAATCTAGACCCATATATCGTATTGTATGACACTTATTATGGGCAAAAGCCGCTCTTTGATGAGCACTTCTCCAAACGTCCGGCTGAAGACATTAAATCAAGCACTTCTTGGGAGGCAACCAAAGTTTCCTAGAATTTTTCTTGTTTTGTTTGAGTTTTCAGGCTTTAGGAAATTTTGATTATTATTATTTTTTGTTTTATAGGTACAAGCAGTGGAGCTAACGAGAGGCGGTGCAAATTCAAGGAAGCTATCATGCACCAAGCCTAAGCACCAAAAAGGGGAGTTTCTTAAATTTTTCCTTATTGTCTTGACTGCTTACACTTTTGAGGATGATGTGCATATAGAGCTTAGAGGGTGAAACATTTCTTTGTTTAAAAAAATGATTTTTTAAAAGAATTGTTTCTTTATTTTGAATAAATTGAGATGAATTGTGCTTTCTTTGGTGATTTTCCTCATTCCGATGATGAGACCATGGTTGATAATTTTTATAGCTTTTAGAAAAGTGTGAATTTTGTCTAGGTGTGTGTTTAATTTTTGGAGTGAGTTTTATTTTGATTGTGATTGTTCCATATTTGAGCACTATGCCTTGATCTTTGAATTGCATGTTGATTTAGATAATGTTTATGTGAATATGTGCTTTTTTTTAATCTCAAAAGTCCTAGAATTTGCTTGATTTTCTCTTGAGGTGAAATCCTAGACTTCATATTACCAAGAAAATGATTTAGGCCATCTTTGGATCGTTTGAGCCTTTCAAGCCTACCATGATATATTTTTATCCCTAGTATATCCCGTTGAGCCTAATGTCACATTTTCCTTGTTACCCACATCTTTAGCCTAGCCTTTCGAGTAACAGTCAATTTTCTGTCCATCACCCCATAAGCATGTTGGTCACTCTAAAGAAAAGATTTTGAGCTATGTAAAATAAGGGAGGAAGGGTGGAGTTTTGAAGTTTTAGTGTGCTAGAAGTGCAACAAAAAAAAAAACACAGTGCCACAGCGCCTACATAGAGAGCCACGACACCCATTAGTTCCCAGTCAGAAACCATGGAGCACAGAGTCGTGACGCCCATTACTTTCATTCAAAAAAAACAAGAAGCTCGACACTTCGAGGCACTTTTGTTGGGTAGGGATGTTGTTTTCTTACCTTCCATGTTCTTTCTTTTCACAACATTGAGGACAATGTTGATTTTAAGTTTGGGGGTAGGAGGCGATTGGAAAAAAAAAATAGGTTGACAAAAAGAATGTTGAAAATAAATTTAAGAATATTACTTGAAAGGGAGAATTGAGCTCTATGAAAGTCCTAGAGTGATTAATGTGCTTTGAAGGGTGATTTGAGGCAAAAAAAATTTCCATATCCTACCTTAACCCAAATCGCACATTACAAGCTTAATGAAGTCCTAATGATCTTTGGTGATATGCTAGTCTACATTAGTGGAGAGAGACATGAAAAAAAAACCTACGGGACTTGTTCATTTTTTGAGATCCTATGCTTCATTGATATT